TATTATTATATTTATATGAATTATACATAAAAAATAATTATAATATAAATGTATAAAAAATGTGTATAAGAAATATGTATATCGACATATAATTAAAAATCATCTCGTGTATTAAGGACACAAATCTCCTATTCTTATAGTTATGCCATATTTCTGTATTAACAGAGATAATATTAACAAATTTAATTTTAATATCATACACGCTCGCAGTTTTTCGCCTATTCTATTCATTCACGCGTGATAACTACGACGCTGTGATTGATATAAAATAAAAATTATATTTTATACAAGGGAATATTTAATCTACTGAAAGAAAAAATTAAGATATGCATCAAATTTTTATGAAATTAATCTGTAGCATAAAAATAAGATAATGAAAATAATTCAACTATAATAGTAATATTTTGAAAATAATTCATTAAAACAATTTGATAAGATAAAAAATAATTTAAATAAATAAATATAAAAAATACAAAGGAGATGGAATATTTTCTAAAGTGGTTAATTATGCGCCGCTCTTTTACCATTCATGTAACCGATCCATCTCTCCGCGGTTGTGATAAAAATAGGATCGTTGTCGATAGAATTGAGAAGAAGAAGTTGATTAATGTGAGTAGAATGGTAATCCCATCTAGCTAAATTCGGTGCTGTTTTTAATGTAAAGTGACGCAAATCGTACGTAGTACCTGAACCGGTATCGTATAACGTTAACATATTTTTTAACGATATCATACCCTGATTAAAAAGTCTGATCGCTTCCTCCGCGTCCTTACCTACTGCTATGCTTTTCAAATCGTAGAGACCGATAAGCGAATAAATAAAACCATTGAGTATGAAAGACGAAGGGGTAGTAGGATACTCCTCGTACCAAACATATTTGCTTAGAAATAACGCAGCCACCCCTCCTTTAACGGATGTCAGTCTGAAAGGTCGTAGGCCTCTGATAGCGGCCTGTAAGTATTTTGCCTCTCCAGAATGATAATATGCTCGTGCTAACACTGATATCGCGTGACCCTGTCCCATACTGGAATACCTGTAACATATATATATATTTTTGTAACATATATATATTTTTCTTTTGAAAATCTGTTCTACTCTTAATCCTTCTGTCAATGTGTAATAACCGAGTATTCATATAAAATTTTAAACAGTAACAATTTTTCAAGTTTATGCGAATTCCGTTATGGCACCTCAAAACACTATCCTTCATACACTAAAGAGTTTTACATAGATATCTCGTTTTCATTTTTGCATTTTTAGCGAGAACTTCGTGAAACACGATAGTGAAAAGATAAATAATAAATTATACAGAAGGGTTAATTTCACAGTTACATGTATATATGTAAAAATATGCTATGAGTGATACCATCCAGGCTCGAGAATGGCCATTCCAGAAGCTACTTTTCTCCTGACAGGATTTGGCCAACCACCAGAGGTGATATTCTGATTAGCGACGAACCATCTTGCCGCATCATAAAATTGTTCCATATGCTCGCTAGTAGATAACGTCATATTGTCAATCATACCGGAGCCGTACAAAGTAATCTTAACTACCTAAAATGAGCGTGATTACATTACAAATCCATGAAATCAATTATATAATAAAATTATCGTTTGAATGACGCTTACCTTTAACTTAGACCGAGGTATTTTCTTCCTACTTTTATCATTCAAATAAAGACCTTTTTGTAAGTCAACTACAAGATCTCTAGTAAGACGTTTCCATTGATGATTAGCTTGTCCGATTCCGTAGTGCACATGATTATTATAATTATACAAAACTATGTTATTAGTGACATAATGAAGATAGTACATCTCCTTCTTCTCTCGTGACTGTAATGCAACCGTGACACTTCCATTGTCTTTAATATTAAAATCCCATTTCAATACAAAGTCCAATACATGATCCAGCTTCAAAGAAATGCCGGAAGTGCTCGTTTCCGGAGTGGCGAATTTCAGGACGTAACTATTAGCTTGCTTGTCGTAGACTCTGTTCATAACCGATCCTTGGGGAACGTTCCAATTCTGCTTAACTTTATCGGAATCCTCAATGATCTTTCTGTGTGGCTCGGGCTCGGTTAGATTTTTACTGTAATGCGATAATCCAAATTGAGCAATTTGTGTGGGATAATAATATCCCTGGCTCTCCCATTGCGTCGATATCGGTACACCATCGGTGCCACTAATACACTTAACTCTATCCCTGACTTCGACATTGTAATTTTCAAAGGTCATAAATACACCTCGGGGATCATACTTCCCCTTGGGATTTACAATCTTTGAATAACTATGCAGCCATTCGAATCTCTCCAGACCATCATAAGTAGCCAGTTTTCCATAAATCTAAAACATTGTATGTACAAGTTATCGTAATATATTTATAACATAATTTATTGATTTATAATGTACAATAATTTATTTAATTAAACGCTAATCAATTCGCATCAACTTAACTGACCTCAAAATATTTATGGATAAATGAAAATGGTATATACACTTCGTCGCCTTCTTTTCGACATCCTATAGAGTAATCGCCGTTTATATGACAATCTATCTCTTGGTATCCCGATTCTGTATTTATACGATCCTATATTAAAACGTATAAAACATATAATATATAAAAATATGTATTATGACAAGCTGATATAGATTAATACGTTAAAATCCGCTCTCACTGTTATATCATATAAATTCTGCCGTACCTTATGATATTTTGTCTTCCAGTCTGTATGAAACAACAGGGTTCCACAATTATTCCATGACGCAAGTAAAAAGCTCACTGTTGCAACAACCAAAACAAGCAAGGTTGTCTTGAAGTTCAGTCGCATCATCATATAAAACCTGTTGATATCAATTATATCTTTTATTTCTCCACAAACAATAATATACATCACGTAAATATTCTAATTAAATCTTACACGACAGATATAATAAGCTAAACAAGCATATTGTTATCGATTAAAATAACAAATAAAATTATGATAACTTTGCGATTATCCAAATCGCCAATGAAACTCACGCGACACGGATGTCACGAGCAGCTCGTCATCTTATAATTTCATCTCCAGAAAGTTTTTAAGATCCCAATCGTCCCATCTTTCCCAGAGATTATTTTTCCAAACATGTTGATATTAATCAGCTGTCATCTATCGACACTGAGATTTCAAACGAGATACAGTAATCATCCTTTCGAATATCCAAAGCTCGTTCCAAATTTCGAGTCGTTGTCGATTTGTAGAATCTCTTGGTGGCTAAGCCACTTCCCTGCAGGTGCACCTCCAGAGTACGGAGTGTGGCGCATGGAAACATTTCCTCGCGGCCGTCATCGCCGCGTAGAAACCGAATTACTGCAAAATTACATCAGCATTTTGCTACGATAATGATAGGCGACCAATTCTACATGTAATATTTGAAAGAACATTATATTCACAACCCAGATAACATTTATGCTGCATAAAATGTCTAAAAGACATCTTTTAGATATCTTATGAAACATGTTATCTGGGAAGACACACATAATACATGAAAGAAAGACATTGAATGTTCCTGCTAAATTTGATAATAAATGAGTCTTTCAGAAGATAAACGAAACAATTCAATGAAACAAAAAGTAGATAGAATTAAATAGATGAATTAGTTGATACCTTGATACAAAAACTGAGAAATTTACTGAGAAATTTAAAAAATGGAATCGATGAAATGAGGTCATTCAAAAGGCAAACTTATCAATTCTATTGTATAAAATAAAAAGCAGAAATCAAAAAGATTGTGAATCATTTCGTACCTTGATACAAAAATGAAGAAATTTGCAAAAATAGAGTCGATCGAATGAGAAGGTAAATTGATCAATTCTATAAAACAAAAAAGATTGAACTTAGTTGGATAAAAACTAAGACATTTACAAAAAGTAATGTCAATCGATTTGGTTTTTAAGAAGCTCAAAGAACGGCGTATATTTTTGTCCTCGATCCAACTATGACTAATTGAACGACGATTAATTCAACCAGAATTGTTCAGGAAATAATTCCTCTAACTATACAAATATTAATTATCTTTATAATCTATATATATATACATTAAACAAAAAATTGATTCTATTCGTATTAATAAAATAGTATTGACAAATTATTGGCTAATTAAATTAATCGAAATTAGATCGAAGCCACTCGACGTTTTCGCAAAACTTCACACGGGCTCACAACGGGACATTATTCAATAGTGAATTGGCGATTACCAGCGATCAAACGAAAACGCTTTCTGCAGTTCCATTTAAAAATCTTCGTATGTTGTGTAAAGCGCGTTCTCCTTGCTTCTGCCGCAAATACTCGTCCCGTCTTATCGTTGAGACAGTAGAATGTATATACACTGTGTACAGTGTCACGATTTGTGGTTATAACATATGATCGCGAATTCCGAACAAGTGGCGTACTCCTAGAACGCGCATGCGTGCTTTGTCCTTCCGCTTTTAAATCTAGAATATACACGAGTGTGAGGCGGAACGAAAATGCAATTTATGCAGTATCAATATAGTACCTAATGTAGCAAAAAAAACACGATTTCTGTACATAATAAAAATTTCTGTATACGATAAAAGTTTTTTGAATTTAATTTAAATGGAATTTGAGAAAGTATATATAAAAATCATATTTTCTTGGAAAAAAATGATTCATACATAATCATATTTAATTATACAAAATTCAATAAAATTATGTATAATTATATGTGAAATTGACATAATTTATATACAATTATATGTAATAATTATATATGAAATATGTCCATATATAGAATAACATTTTTTCCCGAGATTATTATACGAAATTATATCGTAAAATTCAATTCAATTCAATTTTTTATATGTATAATTAAGTGAATTAACTTTGTTATAAAATTAAATTTTATTATATATATGTATCTAAATGTGATTTATATGAGAATATCTATGTATTCTTGCGGAGACTCGACATAAAATAAAGAAAGCTTTCTTTGCTGTGAAAAATGATTATATAATTTACATATATATAATATTAAAAATGTTTATAGAGACAATTAATGTGCAACTAATAAATAATTATAAATCCCATTTTACAGTTTAGATACTTTACTGAAGTTATATATTTAATATGTGCGAAAAATCAGCGCACGATTCACTTTAAATCGCACATGTTTCCCATTTCTCTTTTGGATGTCTTCGGATTTCGGTGTTTTTGCCAATCATCGTGTGATCTTGGATCGACTTAGCATTTTTACATCTTGCGTCTTGTAATATTTTCATTTACATTATTAGTCGTTATCATCACCAGTGAAGGAGGCAGTGGATGTGCGTGCTCCAGTGTTTCCAATGTTTCCACGAGTTTCTCACATCTCCGAGACTCTTTGAGAAACACGTGCTCGCGTAATACGCGTGTCCGTGTGAATTTGTGTCGTGCGATAAAAAAAAGATCAGTGGTTCGTTAAACATGAATCATACGAAGTTCGATATTTTCGTGGGTACAAAATTTGGTATCATTAAAGGTAATCCCATTAAAGGTTAATTCTGCGAAATATTTGTAGGTTATGTATAACCTGCCACCTATTTATATTTAATTCACATATGGAAAATGTAAATTGTAGGATTGCAGATCGGACGAGTAAAGAAGGAGAATAAAATAAAAAATTTGCAGAATGTATCCATTCTTACAAAAACTGATAAAGTTACTAGAATGGCATGGGGCGACAACGAACAAGAGATTTTGGTCGCATGCAATGGTTACAAAGATAACAAGTAAAGCAATCATTTTTATAGCAAAGAGAGTTTCCTTTACTTTTACATTTCTATAGGAATAAATATGATTTTATGTAATAAAATCTAATTTTACGAAAAAATTAATATAATTTTTGCAATATATATCATTTAATTAAATAAATAATTGCATTTAATATAATTTAACAATGACACATTAATGTATGTAATTTTATGGTAAAATATTTTATATAATAAAAAATGATTTTAAATGATAAATGATAAATATGATGTAATTTGATATGGTGATATAATTGCATAATCCATTTTTTACAGAGTAAAGATCTTTGATACAGAGAGTACAGTACTCAAAGATTGGTTTTCTTGTGACATAGGCACAGGTGCTATCAGTGGAATTTCACGATATGGCAGGTAAAATTATCTCGGCATCAAATAGCGTATTCTATGTACTAGCCCATATCAATATTGCCTAGAACCTTCTATAAGCAAGGTTATAAATTGTTGTGCTTGTAAGAATTGACCAATCACAATGTTTTTACATTTAATTGTGATTGGTTACTTATTTTTACTTCTTACACCAAGCTTATTCCGCATATTGCAGACAACACAATATATGAAGCTACTCAGATAGTATTTCCGAATATAATCTTAATAAAGCGATTTGTTGCTGGTATTCATAATCCGTTTTATTTTAAAACTGTTATAAGTAACGTTTCAAAAATGCTAATACAACTCCTGACTAATATTCATAATCGATTCTTATTTCAAGATTGTTTAAATCTTAAGATGCTAATATGGCTTTGTGATTGGCTTATGACATCTTAAAATTACTAAGTACTTAAGACGATCTTAAATATAATGGGCCTTCTACAAGAAGCTATTAGTAAAAAATCAAAAGCTAAAAATTGATGACTGTGATTGGTCAATTTTTTCTGACTTCTGGTTTATGACTAATAAATCAGATTATTATAAAAAGCCCATTAGAATCGATTATGACTACCAGGCTTATGACATCTTAAGACTGTACTTAAGACAATCTTAAATATAAGAACAGACTATGAACTCCAAACTGTGATTTTATTTCAGTTCTATTTTGACATCGGTCAGAACCGGAGAGATATGCTTGTGGACTGAGGGAAAAGGAGAGCTATTGATAAAAACCGAACCTTACTTGGACAGAATGTGCCACTCGCGTGAAAACACCAACTTAATAGCAACCGGGGGAAAGGAAAGTAATAAGTTGAGAGTGTTCGATATAGAGATGCAAAGATTGATATTCTCTGCAAAGGATCTTCCGCACGACTGGCTGTGCTTATCCAGAAAAACTCCAATATCAGACATACATTTTTTGCCAGGAAACCTAATAGTCACAGTCGGTAAATATGGAAATGTAAGGAAGACAATTTTGTTTTTTTCTTTGTAAAGTTAGTCTCATGCATTATCTGTGGTCATGAAAGTACAATCATTATTGACATATTTCATAAAGATACATCTGTATGATCCACGTCGTCAAAGACGTCCTACAATTGATATGTCGATGCATGATGAAGCTTGGACCTGCTTAGATATCACGCCGAAAGAAAAGTAAGATTTGTACATTTTGTACATATATATAAAATTATTGTTACTTTAAAGCATCATTTAAAATATATAAAAATCAATACAATATTTCATCATATTAAAGACACATCATAGTGGGCTCAACTAAAGGCAAACTGAATCTCGTCGATCTAAGACAACCGGGCACCCTGCTAAACACGTACAAAGGATTTATCGGTGGTGTAACCGGAGTGGCTTGTAGTAAAATCAATCCGTACGTCGCCAGCGTCAGCCTCGACAGATATCTACGGATACACCATATCCATACAAAAGAATGTCTCAAAGCCGTAAGTTTTGGGTTTTAATTTCCTGAAATACTACGGTGTTCAAAGCAAATGTTTGATTTGTATTACATTTTACATTGCAGATTTATTTAACATCAAAATTATCGTCTTTAGTAATGAAATCGGATATCTGTATAGAAATAGGATACGAAGATGGCACAGAAAGTTAACCCTCAACTACAGCAATAGGTCATTTAAATCCGAAGCAAGCAGTTTTGAATGTTTGTACAATCTGTACAAACAATTGATACTATTGATATGATTGATATTCTAAATTGTAAAAAAGCTTTGAACCTTCCTTTGTCAATCGCTATAAAGCGAAGATTCGCTTGTTTACTTTAAATAGGATGCTTTAAAATTTACAAGGAAATCCATGGAAGTGTCTTCCTCTGATTTTGAATTTGAATATGTTCTGTTCTAAAAAAAAAATAAGGAACACGTATTTTTTTTTTAAACAGCCCAATCGCACTTTTATCAGATACACCCTTTGAAGAAAATCAGTTATTTTTTAAACAATATCGTTGAAAGAGATAAAAAGAAATGTTTAAAATAAAAGTTGAATGGTTTTAAGAGTACTTAAAAAATTTTTTAAAATTTTTAAATAGTTTTTATTTAAATTTTTTAAAATTATTTTTACGAAGTATGTTTCAAACAATTTTTCAGAACATTTATTTTTATCTCTACAGTTTTTATAGTTGCTTTAAAAGAAAACTTTTCAAAGGAGCGTTGCACCACCTAAATGTTCGATTATAAAGAGATATGTGTCTTTTATTTTTGTTTAAAAAAGAATTGCTTGTTAGATGTATATATAATTTTCGCTGTAGTTAGGATTAAGATATTTGTTAATTCAAATTCATGAATAAAAAATATTAAATAAAATGCACTTTTATATGAAAAAGAATATTTTAGTCTCTTTTAAAAACGTATATTGCAAGTTTCTTCTAATTCTCTACTTTTCACGTTTCTTCAATATTATCAATCATGCAATTTATCATTTAATAGCACATCGACTACAGCTGGTTTGCATCAACCTAGGTTGGATTAATGACTCTTGTTGTTGTTTGCCCTCTTATTAGTGGAATATGTAACGTCAACTAATAGTCATTATCCAACCCAAATCGATGCAAACCCGCTCGAAAATGTTATAAGATTCATCACTTCTAGTTATATAGGCCGTTTATTATTTTCAACAAAATCATGTAAGAATTGCAGAAAACTATAGCATTAAACATTTAAAAGTCTAAAAGACCTATAAAGAAAGCCAAGTATACTTCTTACCTTAATAAAAATGTTTCTACGCAGAATCTATAAAAATATTTCTGAAATTTCTAAAAATAAAAAGTTTTTCTACGTAAAATCTAACATGTATTAAATGATGGACAGATAGTATTATTCAGATTCATTAAAAAAAATGATATCTAATCTAAATAATGAAGAAATTTAGGCAATTATTAAATAAAACATTTCTATCACAGTATATATTTTTTACTCGGCAAGCTGTTCTCTCATTTTAAATATCGAAAAAGGGACAACAAAGGTTGAACAGGGAGTAGGGATAGTACGCTAACGTCGCTTTGTTATGACTATGCGTAATGCACAAGCTTTTATATTATTTATTGTACAGTTTATTTATATTTTAATACCGCATCTCGATAGAGCTTGTATTTTGGTTCTTTGATGCAGCGCGCACAGAATTCAATCGCTCATTTCCCTCTTGATTTTCGTTCCTCTAATATTATGTAGAATGAAGAGAAGCTAAATATATTCTTCGACAATTTCTACTGTGCTTTCAACAAGTAACAAGTTATGTCGAAGCCAAGTGCGCGGTACACGCTGCGGTAATGTTACAGCGTAATCTTTAGTATCTTTAAGTAGAAGAAGGTGAACGTGGCAATTCGCAATGATTGCAACGTATTTTGTACTAAAAAAAAGAAAGAAACGCGCTCGCGCGCCTACAGCACATTAAATAGTACTTTTCAGCTGTACAAAAATCTTCGTTCACACTACGCGTCCTATTAATTAATACTAATGTTTAGCTTTGTCTTATCCCGACTGCACTTACATCTCAGATAGTATATATGTATATTTATATACGTGTATTCCAATGAACGTGTCTCTAGGAATACATTCGCTACATTTACAGGCACTATTCCCTTCAAAATCGAGTAACTACCGTCACCTGCATTTCTATATGAGGAAAAAAAAGAGATTAAGATCTGCGTCAAACATGTCAAATTTAAATTCCAACTGAAAGACAATTTATAACTCTAAAACTTTTCTTGATATTTATCTTCAACAACTTGATTATGCAGAATTGTTTTACAAAGGAATGTTTCTCTCGATCCATTAAAGAATTTGTAGTGCAAAATAATACTATACAAATTTCCTCAAAATTCCGTCATTATTATAATTTGTATTTTTCTCACGATACGAAGCGAGTAGGTAGTAATTACAATTGAATTTATATACAAAGGCTTTTTTTGCTTGCTATACTCGGAGAATTCGATATACTTGCCAATGAAAGCAAAATTAATCATGAATAAAGCAATTAATAGATCGAAGAATGTATTTTTGTTCGTAAGTCATAAGTCAGTATTCTTAATTAAGACGATTCACGATATAATTATAATATAAAATCTTATTTCGGTGGTTTGTTATATCAGTCCGCGTATCGTCAGTAATGATTATACAATATATAGAATTTGGTCAAATATCACATTAAAACTCGAGTATTTTTATCCGATTCATCGAATAATAATCGAGTATATCACGTCGATTCTTTCAATTTTTGTCATTTACGGACATAAGTATACAAGATGTGAATTAGTTCATATTGATATCTATTTTTCGTAAATATTCAAGAAAAACTATATAGTATCATATATATCAATAAAAAATTATTTTAGTGGATAACTTTAGTTCGAGAATATAATCTTGCCTTATTGTTGCAATAGAGTATTTTATCTTTTTTTTTTAATATAAAAGCCAAAAACATTGCAACTTTTGTATAGAGCTTTACTCCTCGACATTTGCGTAACTCTGATAATACAGTGAAAATAAAATATCAAAATGAGGACAAGAAAGAGACAATCTTTTAGGTGTATAGATATAATCCGAAATAATTTGTATCTTGCTTTAACAATACGTATTAACAATATAGTTTGATATACTCGATGATATCACTTCTACATAATCAATGAAAATTGTCTGAAACCTTAAAAGAACCATGCCTATTCACGTATAGAGCGGTGTTAAAATGGATCTACTTATTATGCAAAATCAGTAATTAAGATTAGATAAGGTATCTCTAAATCTTTTCAGTAGAAATAAAAGAAAAAAAAAACGATTTTTATAAATGAGTATGTAAGATATCAAAGACATTAGATCGATAATATACAATGCGTTCAGAAAAAAATGTAAAAGATCTCGTGCGTACGAGGTCAGATATTCGTTTTTGTCGATCGCGAAATACTCTTCGATAACTATTTTTTTTTAATTGTCACATATTCTAATTATACACAAGATCAAAAGGAAAATATCTACGTTACTCCATTTCACAAAGGGTGAATACAATTTGCATAAAGAATATATAATCATGATTAAGTTACGATTTTAGACATTTTTCAACAAGACAAATGACAGTGTAACAGTGAATTATTTCATCTTTATTTAACATTGGCAAACAACAAAGTTACAACGATAATTCACTGGTGTCAACTGTGTTTCTTGTTGGAAAATGTCTTTCTCTCCAAGATTTTGTCATATCTCCAAAAAAAGTTCGTTCCTTCAAAATTCGTCATTTCATTCCCGACCATGCTCGATTGTAGAAGGGTGCGGAGAATCGCATCTGAGCAAATAATGGCGCAGCTACCTACTGTCCTTGGCGAAAAGCTCGAACGTCTAATGTGTAGCGTGTCTGTGTAGCATTTGTACCATAAAAAATTAAGCTTAAGTGATTTTTTTTATACACTATACAGAGCATCGTGTTTGTTATAACCTCGCGTTCAGCGAGGAACTTCTCTGTTATTCTAACGCGCCACATCTAATTTCTCTCAAATGGGACATTCTGCCCCTCCTCTTCTGCGGCGCGTATCACCGATTAACTTGCGTACTCGCGGAGAACCACGATAACAACAAAGGATGTACAAATATGCAGTCGTTATGTTATTCGTCCGCCGCCGCGGTTAAAAGCAGCGATCAATTCAGTTCGGAGTCTGCATCCGTGCATGGCGGCACGTAAAAACGGCGACGTCTCATTCCCCACCCGAGACGCCCGAGACACAAATGTTTATCACATCCCGCCACGTCGCTTCTTGAGTTTGATTCACTAGTGTCGACTGAGGTTCCGAAATGTCCGACGTGACTGGACTCAGCGGTGGACTAGGTGTCGCCGGCGCTTCCTCGGACTGATTGCGATCCGTTGTCTCCGCGGCATCTTGCTCAGCTTCACCGTCGACGAGCGACGTTTCCGACTGCGCGGAGCTGGGAGCCTTCGACAGCAGAGAATCTTGCGCTCGCAACGATATAGAACTACCTTTATTGCTACTGCCATCCTCTCCTAAAGTCAACAGAAAATTAGCATGATAAGAATCGCTCAACAAGAAGTGCTCATTTACTAAGAAGTTGAAACATACGCCGTATTTTACTAAATCAAAATTAAAGCAATTATATATTTTAAGAATAATATTACACGTTTTACAAAGAAAAACGATATAAATTGCATAAAAAGGTAGAAAATAAACTTCTTAATATGACGTAAAAGTTAATTATAAACCAAAGATAATTATTGATCAAGAATGTTAAAAAGTATTACTCACCACAAGGCCTAAGAACGAGGTAGAAGAGCAGATCGGAGAGAGATATTATACCGATCACTTTATCGTCATCATCGATCACTACTAGCCTATGCACCTAAGAATGTACAAGACAAAAATGTATTGTATCAATAGTAGTATAGACTGGAAAATTATGCTCAATTTAAAAAAGAAAAACGTTCCCTTACTTCTGCTCTGACGATCCTTTCCATTATAGTAAACAATGTCTCATCTAATTTGCAACTCTGAACACCTTCAAACCATTCATTGCGGTGCTCATTTGCTTCGCGTAGCGAAACGTCTAGATTGTTATACGTCTTTTCCGCTGCTAAGTTCTAAAAAAGCGATATATTTAAACGTTAGCACTTGCATAACATACACTACAATATCTTGCAGATGTTTTTTTCAAATGTGACTTACAATGACATCAAACTTTGAGTAGATGTTCACTAACTTCCCCTCGGAATCGACAATCGGCAATGCTGAAACTCTCCTTTCCACAAATTTTTTCAGCGCTAAAATTATGCTAGTTTCCTCCGTAGCTGTTTCTATATTCTCGAAAGTACCTATCCTTAATTCTCTCAGTGTTTTGTTAGTGAAAGATGGTTTCGGTAACTCGTGGATCTGTCAATTGCAACGAATTAAAACAGATTCGCGCTGGTAGAGTCTCATTTGCTTGGAAGGAGAGATACGCATACTTACATATAGGAAAAGAAATCTAAGTATT